TAAATTTGAGGGGGAGGGGGGAAAGGAATTAAATTTGAGGGAGGGGGGAGAGGAAGGAAATTTGAGGGAGGGAGAGAGGAAGGAAATTTGAGGGAGGGGGAGAGGAAGGAAATTTGAGGGACGGGGAGAGGAAGGAAATTTGAGGGACGGGAGGAGGGGAAGGAAATTTGGACGGGGGAGAGAAGGAAATGAGAGGGAGAAGAAGGAAATTGGAGGGGGAAGAAGGAAATTGGAGAGAGGGAGGGAGGGGGAGAAGAAGGAAATTGGAGGGGGGAAGAAGGAAATTGGAGAGGGAGGGGGAGAAGAAGGAAATTGGAGAGAGGGAGGGAGGGTGAGAAGGAAATTGACGGGGGGAGGGGGAGAGATTGACATCCATCACACACAATGCACACCTTGCACACAGAAAAACACACAATGCATTACACACAGACACACGTACACAAGCAATGCATCCCTTACACACAGCAACACACAATGCACCCCTTACACACACTCAATGCATCCCTTACAGACGCACACACTGCATCCCATACATACACAAACTCATCTTGCAGCCCTTACACATACAAACACAGATTCACACAATGCATTCCTTACACACATCAGGACATCCCCCACACACACACTCCACTCCCTGTGAACAAACTCATTGGTGGAACATGAAGGTGGACCCTGGGACCCAGACCTTGAGCTGTGTAAAGGGCCCTCAAAAAAATGGAGCTGCTTCCCGTTCTCCCAGAACAGTGATTTTTGTGACCACAGTTACAAACCGCCTCCAGAGAGCCTGTTGTACACCAGACCAGTGGAGCCAGACGGCAGCTAGAGCCCATCATCATCCTCATCTGGTTGTAAGTAGGCAATCTAGTATATTATTCGTGGCACTAATCTCTAATTTACCTCACATTAAAGGGACACTATAGTCCCCAGAACCACTGCAGCTTAATGTAGTGGTTTTGGTGTCTAGCCTGTCCCTGCAGGCCTTTTAATGCAAACACCGCAGCACTGGTGTTAGTTAACATGGCAGATCATATGGGTGGGGCATTGTGATGTCACATGGGAGGGCGGCAAACTTTACTTTTGCCTAGGGCGGCAAAAATCCTTGCACCGGTCCTGCAGACACTGCATCCCTGTGGGCGGATTCGGAGGGGGTGCAGCACTTTGGGCGGACTCGGGTGCAGGCACCGGGGGGCCCAGACCTTGAGCTGTGTCAGGGGCCCCAACATTTCTGATGGCAGCCCTGACATTAATAGCCCAGAATTCTGTTCTAGGCTGCCAAATGTCAGTTCTGTGTATATCTGGGTTAGTCTCTGACTTTGAATTTAAACAGATTTGTACAATTCAGGATAAAATAGCTGATGCTTAATGTCCCTTCTGTGTATATTTTTTGTTTATCGTCAACAAGCACTACACAGTGGTGACAGATGTAATGTGTGTCCTCGCCATGCAACTCTCTCAATTTTTGGGGGCTCTCTCTCTTTCCCCACTTGCTGGCTCTGAGACGGCTACATGGTCCTGGCTGTTGTGACCTCTGGAGGGAGTGTGGAAAGCAGTGCTGGGAGCTGTACCCAGTGCTGGATTTTAGGTAATTAAAAAAGTTTGTTTATGAAGAGATGTGGGGGGACCTAAAGAATAATGCCCAATGGGGCATTATTTATTTATTAAGGTTTATACGGTTGTGAGTAACCCTTTTAAGAACAATATATTAAAGGAACACTATAGTCACCAGAACAACTACAGCTTATTGAATTTGGTCTGGTGAGTAGAATCATTACCTTCAGGTTTTTTGCTGTAAACACTGTCTTTTCAGAGAAAATGCAGTGTTTACATTACAGCCTAGTGATAACTTCACTGACCACTCCTCGGATGGCTGCAAGAGGTGCTTCCTGGGGCAGTGCTGCATAGTGTGACTGACATTCACTGTCTCCACCCTCTGCATGCAGACACTGAACTTTCCTCATAGAAATGCATTGATTCCATTCATCTCTGAGGAGATGCTGATTGGCCGGGGCTGTGTTTGGAATGTGCTGGCTCTGCCTCCTTGATACTCTCAGCCAATCCAATGCTTTCCTATGGGAAGGCTTTGTGATTGGCTCAGATCACCACTTCTGATGATGACAGCCAAGCAGGGAATCAGGGGCAGTAATCTGTAATAAAGGTAAGATTTTACTATACAGTATTTAGGGAGGCATACAGAA